CAAACTATCATGAACAATTTTTCGTTCAATTTTAGCGGATACCCTTCTTGTTCCCTTACTTCTGGGACACCCTCTATATCCATAGTTTTATTGTTGTGTCGAAAGATATTTACACTCCCTTTATATACCCTTAGTATGAAAACTTCTAGAACTTTCTTCACTGTTCTAGGAAGTTACGAAAAAAAACGACAAAAATTTCTTACCAACCCAATATTTCTTTTGCTATGAGTAATTTCATGAGAGCGACAGAAAGAAAGAAAAATAGATTGCATTAATAAAAGATGTAAGAACCCCAAAGCAAAAAAGAAATATTGTCACAACCGATGTGGATAAAGACCCTCAAGTTTACAGTAACTGTCATCATATTTTATTGTGTTCTTTGAAAAAAAACAGGTTGGCGACAATGTGTTGACATACATTGATCCTTTATTTAGCCTCGGAAAAGAAGTATTTCTTTTCATTCTCGAAAATGAGTATTCCACTAAATATTTCACTCGCCTATTTTTTTGATTTTGCAATCAGCATTTATTTATATTGAACTTCAAAATTTTAGTAGAACATATTTTTGACGGTTGCTTCGTAAGTTTTTTTTAATTAAAAACGCACATGCTTTTCATACTATAAAGGCAGACGCTTTTGTCGAAAAGAAAGAAGTAAAAAAAACATAGTGCATATGACATCTATATTTGTGAGTAAATGTGATAAAATAAATAAAGAATGGTCATGTTGTACTCGTTAATCGTTGCGGGATTATTTTCATCTAATGTTACCAATTCTTGGTCACCAATTGAGTAAAACATTTTCATTAATTTTTTTTTCTTTTTTAGCTCATTCACAAAACTTGTACATGTCGAATACAAAAATGCTTGATGAATCATTCCTCAAACCGTTATTGAAACGTATTGATTCACAATATCGCCGCCATAATAGAAATGTATTATTCAAATGCATTCTAAAAGTATTTAAAAGGCAGTTAATTTATTTGACTGTATTGATAATATCCCAATGTCCTAATCAATTATACAATGCATGGAAAGGTCCATTTCCAATGGATCTGAATCAATTTCAAAATCATTTACATGGAAGTTACTATATATTTTCTTCACTTCTTTTTCAGCCTGAATTCATTCAGATTGAAGTAGGCGAAGATAATATTGACTTAAGTGATCAGAATTCTTTGAAAGCCCTCTATGGTTATTTTTCGTATGGATCTTTGTTATCGACATACCATCCGATAGAAATATCGACTTCTTATACACGAGAGGAAATGTTATATGTTAAGTTTGCTGCAGATCATCGATCGTGTTCTCAAGCGCGTTACCCATATCATTTTGAATCCTTCAGTTTTGCAACACTGCAGTGCATAGTTAAACAACTTGCAATTTCGACATCAGAATTCTCAAGTCAGTCTGACAAGTCTGTATACATTAAGAAAATTGAAGGTATCTATAACCGTAATCCAAGAGTATTCAATAAACAAGTAATCGCAAAATGTGGTATTCTAGTCGGATATCTCAAAAAATACGAAAGTGACTTTGCTTTTACGTCTCATTCGAATACACCTTATCGATTTAGTCATCATGTTAGAATATTTGATGTTTCATGTTACTATACTCCATATGTATCTTATCTTATCATATGCTTCTTCGGATATCTTCTACTCGAAGATCTCAAAATTCTTTATCCATCTATCCTTGATTTTATACATCGACCACCACTAAATCTACATATTTATATTCAGGAAGAGTTGAAAAAAGTGAACAGTCTTTGTTTAGCATATCTAAATCGAGATTTATTAAATGCAGATGCTAGAAACAATTATTTTAATCAGATTTTTATAATAAAGAACAAATATTTGGTCATGATGCAAGTGAATTTAAATGAAAAATCTGCCGAGATTCTTCGACAGTTTTATTATAAATCTCCATTCATTATTATTCCAATCGATTATATTACGAACATCACATCATATAGTGTTGTGGCTCTGTACAACAATTATTATCAGCATGTGTATTTTATGACCTCAAATGAAAGTCGTAATTTAACACCAGCTGAATGGCTACATGAAAGATTGGTGAATTTAAATAGTAGATATCGGTTTAAGTATGCTTAGTTTGTCACATGAATAGCAACAGAAAATATGTTTTATATGATTTTAACTTGTTTTAGTTGGCACCGCCAACAGTTAGCTGAAAAGAGAAGCGAACGAGAGCGCCAATTAGAAAGTTTTATTGAAGAAGAAACTCTATATCAACAACGTCAATATGACAATAGCATCGACCAAATAATGAATGGTGTAGTATCAGCATCGCCTAATTTTATTGCACAGTTTCGTTTGGATGATCCGATATTTGTTACTGGTAATTCACGTGCTGAAATCTGTAGTATTTACCTCCATTGCTTTAAAATAGGCGAACGCGTTGGTGAATGGCCATGCGACGCTAAACATACGTTTCATTTCAAGTGTATGCTAGATGTACTGCGAACAGGGAACAAGTGTCCGTTATGTCGACATCCAGTAGCTGCAGCACATTTGCCTAACGGAGAGCAAAATCTTCGACTGATACTACAGAGAATGTTCCATGGAGTATTTAACTGACCAATTACATCGTATTTTTTATGACTCCATTACGAAGAAACTCAATATTGAGTAAGCCCAAGAACTTTGGAACTTTTATGATTTATTAATGGAACTTCAATAAATTTGAAAATGCTAGATTTCCTAAATCTATAAATATCCGTTTGATTGCCTACACCAAACCATGGTCAGAATATCTTTAGTTTATTTTCCAAAGGGTGACAATACGCCGTTGAATTCATTAGAACGTTCCTTAGTTTTCCTTTCAAAATTCATATAAGTATTCACTTTGTTTTATAGTACAGCTGCTTCTGATAAATTTTATTTCTTTCGTGATCCTAAAACAATGTACGGCATACTGGTTCCATTCTCATGATTTCCTCAAGTATTATTTATTTCGGAGTTAAATACTAGTGCTCATTTGGAAAATAGCTCTAAAAAAAGAACGAAACATTAACAGTTGATGGTTTAACACTATTTAGGGTGTGGGTGTGGGGTGTGGGTGTGGGTGGGGATGGGGTGTGTGGGTGTGGGTTGGGGTGTGGATGGGTGTGGGTGGGGTGTGGGTGTGGATGTGGGTGTGGGTATGAATGAACCGGAGATTAACACCCAAACAAACCCACATCCACATCCACATCCACACCCACACCCACTCACACCCACACCCACACCCACCCCACACCCACACCCACACACACATCCACACCCACACCCTTTTCTTTTATAAGCTATACTGTTTACAATTAAGCCAGTCTACACGCATTATTATTCTGTTGCGTTTCGTGCAATCAGACTATCGGTTTTACTGTTGTAGTGTATGAATCGAAAATTGTATGAATATATGTATTTAGAATTACGGCTCTTGTAGTAACGAGATCCGAGGTGAAAGTACTTTGCTAGTACAAAAAGTAAATCCACACATTCGTAAAACCGGTTTGTTCATTATTATCAACAGCGAAAATTCTGTGAATTCTTCGACAAGTGATCAGATGTTAACTGAAATTGTTTTCTTTTTGTATCCACTTTTCTTCTACAACTCAACCTGCGCAAAAAGTATCCTTATCTATGGTTGTTAAAGATATTCTAGAATATCATTATCTTATTGCTGATAAACATACATATTTACGTTTGGTGAAGACCTAAAACTGCAAAGTGAATTTTTCTAACATATAACTATTGAGCATCTTTGATTATATAATCTATTTGTGTAGAAAATCCATTACCAAATAAAAAAATGTCGATTGAAAATAATTCAAGTTTAAAAATAATGACACTTGGTCGTCCGTTCAAACTTGGAATGCTTTATAACTTTATAACTGATAAACTTATTTCTAATCTATCTTCATGGAATTCGGATTTATTACAAGAACATATTCATCATCAGCCTTTGTCATGGAAAAGGTTTGAACTTTATTTAAGCGATAAGTTCACAGAAAAAGCAAATCTTCTGGAAATCGATAACAATATGAAATTGAGTATTTTAGCTGATCTTGTTGATTTATCTGATTCAGTATATTTAATTAATGATCAGAAAAAAACAAATCGAATATTACGATTTATTTTAAAATATTCATTTACAAAAAATCTTCATAAAATAAACCTCACCGATATCGATAATATATACAAAAAACATCCAGAAGTATTTCATCAACAAAACGCTACTCATATTGTAACTGGTATTCTTTATGGTCGTGACATATTCTTCATATTTGATCGAACATTATCCAATGATGTAGATCGTATAAATATTGAAAATGATATAAAGTTACTTTTGCATAAATTCGATAAATTTAAAATACTCTCTAATGGTGAATTAAATTGGAACGATCATGAGAAACAACTAGCTAGAACACTAACATGTCAATATTATGGTGATTTTCAATATGAATCAAGTCCAACAACATTTGAAGAAGCATTTAAGTTCTATATATATTTACTAAACTTTGTTCTTGAAAAAAATGATTGTGGAATACCAAAAGAAGCAGGGGTGGAACCGGTTGAGAAATATTAAAACGGTCCGGTCCGGCCGGTTGAAAAATCCTACCGGTCCGGTCCGGCCGGAAACCGGCCGGTTGGAATCACATGTCCAACCGGTGAAATTCCGGTGAAAATCGGTTAAAAACCGGTGGAAAAATGTCGAATTTTTTTTGAAAACCGATTTTTAGAAAAAATCGCTCCAAATATGAAATAGTTTAAGGCGCATGTAAAAGACGCTCATCATAATGAATCTTTTTAAAGAGAATCTCAGGAAAAACGATTAATATAACATATGTTTTGAGCACTTTTTTACCTATTCTGACAGAAAAAACATGTGATACCTTAGTTTTTATGGTCAAAGACAGGATTAACAAAGAAGATTTTTGAAAAATTTCAACCGGTGAAATTCCGGTGTTTACCGGCCCGGTTGATTTCTTCAACCGGTCCGGTCCGGTCCGGTACCGGTCCGGCCGGACCGGTTCCAACCCTGAAAAGAAGCATGGATATATCCAATTTATTTATTAAATCTGTCGAGGTTAGCAGAGAAAAAAATGCTATCAAATAAATCATGATATTCTTACTAAATCTTTAGAACTTTTTAATAATTTACATCGATGAAAAATAATTTTGAATGATTTTAAAAATAATTTATTATCTATTAAAATGTTCCATCGAACTAAAGAACAAATGTCAATCTACATTACCAAATTATTTGAAGTTGATACTCAAATGAGAAGTCAACTGACAAAACTATTACCGAATATTCGTAGTGGTTCTATGAAAGAAATAGATCTCACTAATCTGTTGAATAATTGTGATTTATCTCTAACCAACAAACGAAGTATAGATGAATGGATTCAATTGAAAACAAAAGAAATAAATGAATTATATAATTTTCAAAAAGATTTAGAAAAACAATCTCATATTTGCCTATTAACATGTTCATTTGTTGAAGTTCAAAAACAATTTACTAGTAAATTTATTCTTCGTTTAATTTTTCATCGAACAGAAAAAAGTGATTCATCTTCCATGAAAATATTTCAGTGTTTTGATGACAAAGTTAAAAATTCCACAAATCAATATACAAAAACTGGTTCTTGGTTCAATGAAAATAATATTAAAACAATTAAAAAGCAAATTTTATCATTTATTCGATTTGTTGAACTAAATAGTTCTAAAACAAATATTAAATTTATTGTTAATGAAGAATATGCCGATGAATTTCAAATGAAGAAAGGAGTAACATGTATTCTCTACCAAAATGGTATTCCAATCGATTTCGAAATTCCAAGTGAACCAGGACAACCATATGCAACAAATGTTTCAGATCACAGTTTAACGATTTGTTGGTCAAAACCTATCGATTGAAGTCAAAGCATTCAGCATTATAAGGTTTATCGTAAAAATTGTTTAGATAAAGCATGGAAATTATTGTTGACAACTGATGATGCTATATTATCAGTGAATATTTCAGATCTTAGCAATGGTAGATATCAATTCAAAATACAAGGGGTGACTTTAGTGGGCGATACACCTGAAAGTGATGCTAGTGATGAAATATGTGAGTATATAGGTTATTTTGATTTTGTACAGGATATCAGAATTTCCATCACTCGAATATCGACATAGAAAGCATAGTTAGTGGGATATTGTTTTATTAAGGGCGTGCTGCTCATATGGTCGCGTAGTTACCGAGTTCGGGCGAATTTCATGGACGAAATGAATAATCAATTTCATATTTATATGTTTCGAGAGTTTACGATACAGTGAATATTTGTGTATGAAGAGCTCATCTTGATACTTTCTTATCATTGAAAATTCTTTCATATTCACACGCACCCTTTGAGATTTCGTAATTTTTCTATTCTTACATGCAGGTTTAGAAGACTCCTTCAATCCTACATAAATTTTAAGTTAAAGAGCTCGGCTTTTTTTGTTAAAATAATTGTTATTCTTATCCTCTAGTTCTATGTGATATTTACGGTTTATACTCCATCCTCTGCTTTAGGTATTTAATTTAAAAAAAGGGTATACACCGAGTGGGTGTGGGTGGTCATATTCTGGTACAATACTCTACCCACATCCACCCACACCCATCCTCAAGTAAATTTTCTGGAACTGTTTCCATCGATATACTATGAATAATAATCATTTTTCACAAAATGAAACGAATCATTTAGGCCTCATCATCAATCATGACTTAGGATAGTTCATCTTCTCGTTTTTATTACCACCAACTGTACCCGAAGTAAATAATACTCAATCTAATCTAAAGTTTTATTTGCAACGTAATCCTGTCACTGAATTATATTTCATTTTCAGCTGTAGCTGGCGCCGATTCATCCCCTCATGTAGTGCCAGAAAACCAAGCAGTATTGAAAAGATATTATGATAGTTTTCCGAACGTCGATGACCTCGCTAATACAACTAATCCAGACGTGAAAAAAGCTGACGAGTTCACCAAATCAATACTTAATACAAAACCATCGGGGAATGTGACTGACAGAAATACTACATGTCATATACTTAATAAATTATTGGGTGGTGAAGATCAACAATGTTTATTTTTTGATTCTGCAAATGGTATTAATCTTCATGATGTATCGGGAAACTTAGCTGATATTGACTCTGAAGATAGACCGTTCGTCTTGAAATTAAAGAGTAGTGAAGGATTAGGAGGCGACAATAGTAAGAAAACGTTCGACGATGACAGGAAACTGATTGAAATCTTAGCACATGGTATCGAGCAAAAAAATACCATCCCATCATTGAAGACATATGCGATCGGTTAGCAAAAGCACACGAAGTTGATAAAAATTCTATTGTTATAAAAGATGTCTTCGTTGGATCATTCAATGTAGTTTATACTGTAAAACATTTAGCGATATCTGTAACTAAACAGCTAATCAAAACTTCGCAACATTTGAAGAAGCAGTTTTCCCAATTCTTGAGTGCGAAAATTCATCCATTATTATTTCGCCCATCATTTGATATAGCCTTTTTCGATGCTCGTGGTGATAAAACATTTAACAGTGGACCACAGACTTATGAAATTGGTCCACCCGAACGTACCAAAACATACACTTCACCCACTGGTTGGACCAGGTATGGTCTAAAGGTCCTAGGTAAAAGCGAATATAAAAATGATGATTGGCTGCATCCATTTCAACATCCTGGTAATTGGTATAGAGCTTTCCATGGTACAGGAAATGCAACAAAAGTCGACTTTGGTAATTCTAACGCAAATTTCGATCAAACTGCTGCACCCGTCGATGCACTCGCAAACATTTTTGTAGGAGGTTTTCGTGAAGCAAGAGTCGCTGTGCACGGCTTGGGTGTTTACTGTTCTCCAAATCATGTCTGGCTCGGAAATTCTAGATATGTTTGGAGCTGTTGAATTAGATACTGAACAAGGAAAGAAAAAGTTTATGTGTATGCTTCAAGTAGCAGTGAATCCTGATAGTGTTCAGTATCCCACCAATGATATATGGGTTGCACCTAAGCCTCAAGATATTCGACCATATGGTATACTTATCAAAGAAGTTTGATTGAATCTTTGTTTATGCTATCTGCTCTTTTTACCTGAAAATTTAAAAGACATTTAAAATGAAATATAGTAACTGGTATTCTAACATGATCAACCACGTATTTCTTCCCGGATGATATAAAATATAAAACTATACCAACTGAAGCGAAAATAATTTATAACTGTCCGAACACTTTTTCTATGAAATCACTTGATTCAAGAGTCATCCACCGTATTAATTTCAAATGTTATCATAAGGATTTTCCATAGGTTTTCCTAGGGTAGGTGTGCGTGTGATTATTAATGCGAATCTTCTCTCAACCTACATCCACCCAAAATGAGCTTTCATTAAACAGATTAGCGAATAAACCATCAATGCTTCATCAAATCCTTTATTGACACCCTAATTCAATGACGAGAACAGCATCGTCATAGTGAGAAAAATCGATGCATCTTTAATAGTGATCCACTATATCATTGCTGTGAAGTCAAGCAAATACATGAAATGTCATCCGAAAGTATTCTAATAGTGATTATAAAAATGCTTCTAAGAGTGAATATTATGTACAAATGATGGAGATTGTATCATTATAAGGTATTACATTGCAGAAAGGCTGTTAGTGCAATTCCTACAAGCTTACAATACGAAATACGATCTAGCTTTTTTTAACCAATGATAACGAGATATTTACAAATCAGAAAAGAGAAAATCAGTGGTAGTCGAATATCTCCATAATAATAATTAGCTAGAGAGCTGTGTTTTTTTTTTGATCGATAGCCCTATAGGGAGAAAGTAAATTGTGTGCCGGAACACAAATTTTCGAACGCTTTCTCATGAAATTTGAGAGTTTTTCGAAAAAAAACGAAAACTAAGGGTTTTATACGGCTGAATTTTGACCTCTAATTATTGTAAACAATAAACTCGACTGATATCATCATTCAAACAAAAAATTGCACCTTTCTAGGATGTCTAGCGAGCGTTTCAGATGATTATTTCTGACTTTCCAAGCACGAGAGTTTCATTAGAGACATTGTGAGTCACTTCAGTACTCAAAATGATGTCCATTCAGATAGCTCCCTTGTTATAATGTTGCCTATTTTCCAGTAAAACATTTTACCATCGTATTTATCACAGCTAGACTATGTGATAGAGAAATTGTTCAGAAGTATTAGAATCAGTTCATGTCATATAGGATGTGGATGAATGTTGGGGACGGACTTCTCTTCACCTTCACCCATATCCTATTAAAAATTTTTCTAAAAACATTACTGTGATCAATGAAGAAAAATCTATCCTCGCACTCATAACTGAGATTAAAAATTTGACCTCATTTGTGGATTAACCTATAGCTAAGTTTCATCAGAATGACAGAAAACCCGATCAATAGAAAATATCAGTTCTGATTGGTTTGGACAGACAAACATACATACATATTTCAAATGTAAGACTCTTTCTTTCAGAAAATGGAATATTTGATTCATTCATGAATTTTAATATGAAATACAACGATGTTTATTTTTTCAAAAATTATATCAAATCAAACTCATTTTCATTTGGTCAAGACTCATTCATTCCAAGTTTCTAATAAATTTCAATGTGAAAAGGAAACAACCAAAATCAATCTTCATCGTAGTTTGAGTAAGTGTTAGTATGCCAACATTCAAATCTTATGTTGTCTTAATATTAAAAAAAACGATTGTGTTTAGTTGAACACAAAAATGAAAAAAAGAGATTGTTCTAGACCATGCTGACTATAACGAAGTTGTTAGTTGGATGTGACTAAATAGATACTAATTGCATTATTTCGGATAGTTTATAATTTGAATAAGATTATCTATAATAATCTAGTAAGCATTCTTTTTCTTCAGAGAGAATTGTTAATTAAATATTCGATATAAGCTATGGATATTCGTTTGATTTTTAATCTTTTTCTGATGTCAAAGAATTCATAGAATTCAATTAAATATTAATAATCATTATGATTTTATATTTCATGATTAAATGAAAAAATAATTTTGTTTAAATAAAATATCAATAAATCGAAGGACTAAAATTTGTTTAAATTAGTAAGTCCTATTAACATATATAATAATATTTTTTCAATTTCTGTTCATTTTACGAATATTTTTTAATTGTTGGTTATTTTCATATCGCATTGATTTTCGATAAGATTACTCTTCACTGATTATGTTTCAAATCTATTATCGATTCAGTCAATTTATCAGAGAAAAGGAGAAATGATTTATCTATTCATCTAATTATAAAAGCTACTCGACAATATATATTCATAAATAATTAACAAATATCTCTCTGATAGTTTGTATTTACCATTGAAATAAAATCAAAGCTAATATCGAAACATATTGACAAAAATATTTCAAAATAAAACATTTTATGAATAAATCAAACTTTTCCTCATTATCAATTCAACCATCATCAATACAGTTTCTCAGCATTTTTTTATCTATAAAGGGATAATAACATTTTATATTTTTATTAAACAAAGCAAGATTATATATAATTGATTTGGGAAAAAACAGAAACAAAAAAAAACACAAGAATCTATTGAGATTGTTCTAAAAAAAAAGATCTATTTGAAACTTGATTAAAATAAAAATGGATATCTATTCGAAAACATGAAAGAGGCTTGACTAGAATAAAAACAAAAAGATGAAGAATTAAAATGAAAAACAAAAATAAGAAGAAATAAAAACCTGTGATATAAAACAAAATGTATTTGTCAATATAAATGATCATTAAGTTTCTTTTGATGATATTCGTTCAGCTTTTTTATCAACTGGACCTTCTTGTTGAGATATTTCTTGTTCAAAATCATCTTCAGCTCGATTTACATTTTGTTGACGTTGATCTTATTAAAAAAAAAAGTCTTTTTAAATTATTTTTTCAAAAAATAAAAAAAAACTGCTACTTTACTTTTTTTTTCATCTTTTGATGGTTTATTTTTTTCGGTAGATTTCGACGATGTACCAGGACTTTTTTCAGAAGATGGTTTGTTAAAAACCATATTTGTCATAGTTAAATTTTGACAAGGAATATATTTCATATAAAACGATCTGCTTCTCAAAAACGGACGAATTAATTTAACAAGCATATTTGTTTTAGTTTTTTTTATCTCTACGAAAAATAAAATAAAATAAATAAGTTCGGCACAAATCACGATAAATATTATAAATATATGTAGGTAATAAGTTTACTGTATATGATAATTGCGTTTTATTTTATCCAGGCGAAAAACAAACAAATCTGAATGGTTTGAGGGTTTAACGAATACATAATTTGTCGCTGATAAATAAAATTTTGATTTGATAGACGAAGATATTCAGGTTTCTGTTTGATTGAAAAAAAGACATATGAAATAAACTTTTAATAAATCGAAAATTTTCTCTGATGAATTGAGTAATTTAAAAGAGATCAATGGCGAACTGATACTTTTAAGTACAAAAAAAAAATCATTGTAGACAGTAGAATACATACAAACATCTGAGATGAAGTCGATGATAAAGAAAAGATCGGCACGCTGTTCATCATAATCAATAATAATAAAAAAAATCTGTATTGATACTGTCTCACTGTCGAGATTCAGCTAAACTTTTATTTCAAAATAATTTTAAAGCATAATTCGAATATTTATTATACTTCTAGTTAAATTAATTTTTAGAATTATTTTTATTTTATTGATTTGACCAAGTGTTTAACAAAGTTTTAGAGAAAATTTGTCAATGATTTAAAAGAAAAATATTCTTGCAAGTCTATGCCAAGATATAAATCAGAATTTTAGCTGCCTGCTATTCATAAGCATCAAAACTGTTGAAGCTTCGTCTTAACTTGATACTTCACGATAGTACATTTTTTTATGCCTTGATCGCTATTGATTGATACAAATTATATTTTTCTTTGATGTGTATTGGTCATTGTGTCTATTTCCACATCGAATTTATATTTTGATTTTGATAAGAGAAAATAATAGTTCAACATAAGAATGTTTAATGAGATTTTTAATATTCAAAAGTGTTATATATTGATCATCTCACTTCCTGACAACAACGACAATTATTTATATTCGAAATTTTATCATTAAAATATTTTTTTATGCAAGACCAAAGACGATGTAATCATATTTCGAGTTTGTATAAATGGGTGGGTGTGGGTGGGATGAGTTCGGTGTGGGTACCAATGTACAATTTGGAACCACCCACCCACACCCATGCACACACACCCAGTTAGAAAAGTATGATTCGATTAGATTTCGGTCTCCACTCTGAACAAGTTGTAGAAGATAAGTAAAAATAATAACAAGGAAGTATCATGTAGAATCAATATGACAACGCAGAATAGAAATCGATAAAGCCGTAAAACTTGCTTGCAGTAGATGCAACAGAATAAACTCATGGGGCGTCTCAATGACAAAGAAAAATTAACCGATTGGATGAAATGAAGCTAGTTATGAACATCAATTTCATATTTATTGGTAATCTTTCTAATGTTAGAAATCCGCTTAATAAACTATTCAATCAAAATCAACCATACCATGTTGATTACAATGGTGCTTTTTTTTCCAACGTTTTCAAGTATTTTGTATGTCAGACAGGTCTGTTATTTGTCAAATGACGAGGTTGGGATTTTTGCATGATGGCAATACTTTATGCTCCATTTCAGTCTGCTTTCGCCTCCGTTGTCTTTTTCAATTCTTTTCAATTTCGAACTAAAGTAGAAAGGACTGCCTATAACAACATTATAACATTCAAGGGAGTCAGCGAAAGACGGCTGATTGTAAACAAGTAAAAAACTTCACTTTATAGGAAGTATATTCATTCGTCTGTGTATTTTTGTAAATATAATTGTAGGATACTAGACGATCATAAACACTCTAAAACTTGCATTATATTTTATTTTATTTTTGAATAAATGAGATTTAATTGAATATGAATAGCAGACACCATTCCTGTAGGATGATGCGAAGTTGATTACTTCCAATGTCATTACTATTTTTCGAATGAAATACATGTTGTAGAAGATCCTATGCATTCACATTATTTCTTTAATACAAAGAAGCACAAAAAACTGTTTCCTTGCTGTTGATTCGAATTACAGATTTTGAAAATCATTTACATTATAACAAAAAAGAAGATTTTCAATTAGAATCGACTTATCTTTGCGTAATAAATGCTAGAACATATCAATCTTTTAAAATTATCTGGTATAAATACGAAAATTAAAATTAAGAATATGCTTTTCTGAATCTACTTGACTATGATAATGCCTTATAATCATTAAAAGTTGATAAGAATAGAATACAAATTTCAAGTAAACCTCAAAAGATTTTGTCATGAGTCTAGCGAACATAATTATGTAGAGAAATACAAAAAAAGAATCAAAATTTATATAATTGATAAAGGTATGAATTTAATTGCAAGCATTCAAATAAGAGCTTCATTGTCCTATCACTGATAATGACTTCGTGACTTCTACTCTCATGATCAGTGTACACAACAGAGTGGATAAGATTTGGATGACAGTGAAAGAAAATTCTTGTCCATGTCCACATTCGCATTTGGCAAATTGATATACCTGAAACAAATACTAAGATTGTATTATTTTGAAATAAATTTATGATTTTACTGACTATTAATATAAAGAAATTTGAAGTGTATGGAACAGGACAAATGAATAAACAGTCAACTTCTCTTTAGAAAACAACGAACTATTGCATGATTTTCGTCTAACTAATGAAAAATAGACATATATTTACCTAATACTATGTATCCTCTAACGATGCTTAACAACTTTTATCAAGCCGGAAGTAATCTGCATCCATGAGAAAAAGTCCTCTCTTCACTCTCATTCTTTTCGAGCTGTTCTATACAACACGCGAAGATGACAGCAATGTTTGATCTAACGTAAATTGTAATCGATTGAGAAATGTAATTATTAGTTATGTTATTAGACTAAAAGATAATGTTTGAAAAAAAAGACTTTACTACATAATTACTAAAATATTAATCAATAAAATAAGCATAAATAAAATTTGTTTAATTGATGTCGATTGCATGGATGCAATATTTGAACTAGTACTAATTGTCTTGTTTTGACGATATGAGATTTCAGTATCTTTAGGATTGGAACATAATGTTCGATTTTGAGTATCTATATTACAAGCACGTACATTCATTGTATGAGTTATACCCGCTACATAATCTTTGTTCATTACATAAGATAATTTAGTATTTTTCAAAGGAGGTTTTACTTCAACTCCATCAACAGTCACTCGATATTCATCAATCGGACCTTGAGGAAAAGCTGGAGGTTTCCATTTTAATTGAAGACGTTGACCATTCAATAAAAATTCAACATTAAGAGGTGATGATGGTCGAAAAACATCAGTATGTGTAGCGTAAGTTTTCGTAGTCATTACTTCCGAACAATTAATATTAAATGAATACCATGTATATGGCTGTAAGTTCTTAATATGAACCGAACCTCGTGTAGTATTTGGAAAAAATTCTACAGGAACTAAACTGCCTGTTTTATTTGTTTGTACATGGCATGAACATGAAGAAAAACAATTTGATAATTCAACATTGAGGCTATATTAATTCAAACTGGTATTAAAATGAAAATATAATATAAGTGAATTCACTTACAAAATACTATCGTTAGTAATCGTTGGTGTATTAAAAAGTGTAGCAGAGAATGTAATAATCTCTGCCGTATTTAAAATGTGAATATTATAAATTACTAGAATGAGAATCAATAGACACATTTATATTGTATGCATACACAATAATTAATTTTATAATGAAAAATGCCGCTTTTTATCAAAGTAAGATTCTTTTGACAATATACAAGAAAACATTCATTATTGATGCAATGTGTAGTACGTCATTCATATCGTCTTTCTTCCTTCGATTATTGTTTCTCTGTGGCAATACTCTCGAGAACGTGAAGTCAGAAAATATACTCGTTCAAACGTGATAATAAAAACTCATGATCAAATCTGAATGATATAATTTCTTATTAGATACATTCTGTCTATAGTGTATTCCAGAACAACTCGAAGCACCTTCATTGTAACATATTACTTTTCTCTTCAGTTCATTTTTTAAATTAAACATTGTTACTATGATATTTTTTAACAAATTTTTCAAACATGTTACTTTTCATTCCTTTTCTTTGTTTAAAAAGTAAGACAGATATAGATCTTGTCGATAATCGACATTCAAAGCTTTTCAAAATGCATTGCAGTCAAGGATGTTTGAATTGCTTTCAAATAGAATGTTTGTATGATGAAATAACATTATATTTCTCGTCTCATAACAGTCAAATCTTAAAGTTGATGTGTCATACCACTTCAAATTTGAGTATGTTTCGTTGGTAATTATTGCAAGGTTGTATTATGTATGAATAACAATCAGCAATTAATTAAAAACTAAATTATTGTTACTAATTTTTCAAGATTATGTAATAAAATTATCTTTTAATGATTCAATTAAATTTGTAACGTAGATATGATGATGTTTAGTGACATCTCTTCATGCTTTGCTTTTCTAACCAACATAGAAACGATCGTCATCGTTACTCATGTACAAAACATAATTGATGGATGAATTCTTTTCTTATTGTTAAATTCATTTCTATATTCATAGATCTTCTAGAAACATATCAATAAACGATGTTATTTGATCAAAAAACTAATATTGATACTGGTGGTGCACCATTATCATTACCAGTTAATTATGAAAGTAAAGTGATTGCTCCAAGAAATCCAACATTAAATCGTGGTTCAAAAATTGAACCAAAAGTATGTTAACAACAAGATTTATTCGATAAAAATGCTTTTATTTTATTTTTTTTATTCTAGTTTACACCATCAACATTTTTAAAAGAAATGTCATTAGATACTCAACAAAAATTACTTAATACAAGAGAAATGTATCTACCAAAAATAATTTCTCTATCAGATATGTCTGAAACATCATTACAAACAGTAAAATTTTTGTTTTTTAATTCAAAATTTTTTTTATTTTTTTAACATAGACATCAAAAGTTGACATTGATGAACCTCTATTTCAACCATATCCATCGGATATTACTTTTCAAAAATATGAACCATTTAATACATATGAAGTACCTTTATTACTTCGAAATAATGATAAAGTAAGATTTTTCAATAGAATATTTTATTTTTTTTTTAATGAAACTTTAATTTTAGGTAGCAAGAGTAGTTAAAGTATCACAAGTTGACACACCATATTTCACAATTGTTGCTCCATCAAATGCATATCAAAAAGTAGCACCTGGAGTTGCCCTTGTTTTTCGTATTCAATTCAAACCGGAAGAACAACGAGTATTTATTGATTTGCTTTTTTTTTTTGAAAATAAACTAGAAAACAATTTTTTTTTAGGATTATGCACATGAAATTTTAGTAGCAACTGAGCGTGAAAAATTTCTTATACCAATACGAGCTATTGGTGCTCGAGCTATTTTAGATTTTCCTGATTCTATTACATTTCCAACAACAGCTGTAAAAAGTACAAATATGAGTAAAGTTTTATTTGTTCGAAATATTGGTAATCGTGAAGCTCGTTTTGTTTTACAAATAAATAAGTAAATAAAGAAGTTTTTTTAATTTCCCAAAAAAAAAAAATAATTTTTTGTTTAATATAGACCATTTCATGTTTCACCTGAAAATGGTCTTTTACCTGTTGGTGAAAGTATGCAAGTAACTATTGATTTTAATCCAATTGTAAATGGTGAAATAAAAGATGAACTTGTTATAATTTATGATACTGGTTTGTTATTATCTTAAAAAAAAATTTTCAATTTTTTTGTTTTTTTGTTTTTTAGGAGAAAAAGTTTATGTTAATGTATATGGTGTTGCACAAGATATAAATGTTCGATTAGAAAAAAGATCTGTTCATTTTGAAAATACATACTTAGAAATGATTAATCAACGTACTGTAACATTATCAAATCGTAGTGATCAATTAGTTCATTTTCAATGGAAACAATATGCTACAGAACGTGAAGAAGAACAACAAAAATTACGACAACTTCATGCATTATCAGAAGAAGAAGTTAATGCATTACAAAAACTAAATGGTAAATAGATTTTTTTTTATTAGTTCTACTATATTAGCTTACAAAAAAAAAAGAGTTCATGTTCCTATCTATTAAATTTTTGATTTAAACTTGTTCTAAATGAACAATATTGAATTTTTTTTTTTGTTTTAGTTAATACTAATGAATCTCCATCAGCTGGTCCATTTGATTTTGGTGTATTAATTCAACGTACATTTATTAATCATCGTCGTCAATTAACAAATGAATCTTATTTATTTAATCATCCAAATTTTCGTATTGATCCACTTGAAGGTGATATATGGCCAGGTGGTAATTTAGATATTCAAGTTTTATTTAAACCAAATGAAGCACATAAATATGAACAAACAGCATGGCTTGATGTTGTTGGTCGTGAACAACGTTTACCATTAACATTAACAGGTGATGGTGATGGTGCAAAATTAGAAGCATCATTTCAAACATTAGATATTGGTTGTGTTTATGTTGGTTCAACACATCTTTATGAAGTTGTTTTAGCTAATAAAGGTTTTATTGAAGCACGTTATCATATACGTAATTCAAATTCTACATTTGGTTCATGTTTTCAATTTGATCCATCATCTAGTACAATATCAATTGAAAATTATCAAGCTATACAAATAACATTTCATAGTGAACAACTTGGACAATTTAATGAAATATTTAATGTTGAAATAGAAGGTAATCCACAAAAATTACCAATAACAATATCTGGACAAGTTATTGGACCAACATTTTATTTTGATCAAGCACAATTAAAATTTGGTCTTGTTTCATATGGTTTTCAAACAACATTAATATGTCATTTATATAATACATCACTTGTACCAATGCCATTTAAATTACATATTGATCAAGATAAAAATAAAAAAATTAATCTTGTTTCATTTGATGATGATGAAGATGAAGAAGATGAAGATATAATAAATAATAATGAATTTCAAATAAGACCATCACGTGGAATAATTCCACCACAAAGTGATACAAAAATTTATGTCGATTTTATACCAAAATCAATTCAAAAATATGATACATTTTTACAAGTTGATGTAGATGGTGTTGGAAATAATATTTTTTCATTACCAATTACAGCTAAGTATGTATTTGACCTTGAAAATCGAATTTCAAGGTGATAATAACGAAAGAATGTTTTTCAATTGATCAATTGTTTTTTTTTTTAAAACGAAACGTTAGATTTTCATATGTTTAGTTTTTGTAAGGAATATGGAAACAAAAAAAAAAACTTCATTGATTATTCAAATATTTTAAATAAAAAAAATAACAAAATTCTATTCATTTTTTTTTAGGAGTACTGTTCCTCGTATAACTCTTCATAATGATATACTTGATTTGGGTCGTACATTTTTAAATCATCCAAATGAACGTTATATACGTTTACAAAATTCTACAAGTCTTCCAATGCGTTATCAATTTTTATATCCTCATTCTGGATATTTACATTTTCAATCAAATGAAAGTGAAGGTGTTATTGATGCAAATACAACACGTGATATTCCATTAATAATAACAATTAAACAACTTGGTGATATAACAGAAAAAATTGAAATACATCGAGTTGGTGCACGTGATCCACCATTAGAATTAGAAATAACAGCAACAGGTACAGGACCTGTTTTATTTATTGATCCAAATGAAATACGTTTTGGTACAATAAGTGTACTTGATGAACATACACAAATATTATCATTATCAAATGAATCACCAATTCCAGCTGTATTTCGTTGTGAATTTGATAAGAAAAATTCATGTTTTTCATGTATACCTAATACAGGTATTGTTGAACCACATACATCAATGGATGTTCGTGTTGTTGCAAAACTTAATGATCGATTAAAGTAAAAAAAAAAAAAAAAAAACATCAAAATTTTCTTTTTAATTAATAATATGTATCTTTTTTTTTTTTGATTTAATTAGATTTAATGAAGAATTAATTATCTATGTTGATCATAGTTCACCACGTACAATACTTGTTACAGCACAAGGTACAGGTGCATTAATTGTACCTGATATTCCAATATTTCCATCACTTAATTTGGGTTCACGTTTTGTTGGTACATCAATTGTACAACGAATACATTTTACAAATAAAGGACGTCGTCAATTGGCTGTTCATTTTATACCTGCTGGTGATACAACAGCAGCATATGGTGTACAAAGAAAAGCAAAAGTTAATAATAATAAAGAAACTGAATCAAATCGTTCATTAGAACAAGCATTTCGTCTTGAACCTGAACGATTAGAATTTGCACCAGGTGAAACACGTTTATTAACTGTAACAGGTTTTGCAGTACAACCAAAAATTGTTGATGAAATATTTACATGTTTAGCTATAATTGGTCGTTCAACAGGTCGTGATAAATTACTTTCATTAAAAATTCATTGTGAATTTGTTGAACCATTAATGTCATTTTCTAAAACTGATCTTTATTTTCGTGTTGAATATAATGAACAAACAATAATAGATGGTTTACGTACACCAATATCATCTGAATTAACATTTTCAAATATATCAGCTATTGATTTAACTGCTAATCTTCGTGTAAAACATCCATTTTTATTAAAAAATGATTCCAATGATGATTCAAGTTCAACAACACCATTGGATAGTACTGATGAAACAACACCAGATATACCACCAGGTTTTACATTAACAAAAAAAATTAAAATATTAACTGGAATGAGTTATTCGGAACTTATTTATTTTGATCCAAGTGCAAATACAAAAGAATTATCATGGAAATGTGATGAACAATTAGTTTTTACCTATGAAGAACATGCTTTTAATGTAAGTTTAATTCTTTTTAATATATGATATTTTAATGAGAAATGAATTTCAATACAAATAACACTTGAAAATCTCATATAACTATTTCATAAAATAGTAATAACAGCTATATTATATTTCTCTTTTTTTAATCCTCTTTAAAATTATACTAACAATTATTAATCTTTAGGATATAATTAATTTACATGGTGAAGTACATTATCCAAATTTATTAATTGAACATACAGATCTTGATTTTGGTTGTATACTTAATGGAACAGAAGTAACTCGATATGTAACAATGGTTAATGTAAGTCCATTACCTGTAAAATATCTTTGGGCATTTATTCTTGATGAAAATGATCGAAATTATTCATTTGAACCACAACCACAAACAAATATAACATCACCACAATTAAATCAAACACAAATTCAAAGTGGACCATGGTCAGAAACTTCTGAACAACAAATTACATATGAAACAGCAAATCTTACTCCTAAACTTGAAGAAATATTTGATATTTCACCTTTTTTTGGTTGTCTTCAACCAGGGTAAATCTAATAAAAAAAAAAACGTTTAAACTATTTATTTTTTTTTAGTGAAATCGAAAAAACTGCTATTCGTTTTTATGGTCATCCAGGTATAAAAACAGCTATTAAAGCTATATGTCAAATAGAAAATGGTCCTGTTTATGAACTTTATCTTCATGGTCAAGCATCATATATGGCATATCGTTTAAATACACATGAACTTAATTTTGGTGATGTACATTTTGATAAATCAGCAACACATACATTAACATTAACAAATGTTGGTAGTGTACCATTAGATTTTCATTTTTTAAATTTAATAAATTTAAATAATATACAACAATATGCACATATTGATGTTGAACCTGAATCTGGTATATGTCAACCATATACATCAACAATAATAACAATAAAATTTCTTCCAAATATACCTGAAAAATTTGAAAAAATTTTATATTTTCAAGTAGCACATTTTCAACCAGATGAAATACATTTAATTGGTACAGGAATGTTTAATCGTTTAGAAATAAATTTACCACGTTTTATTATAAATAATTCTATTGAAGAACAATTATATGAACAAATAAAAGAAAAATCTGATGAAAAATTTCTACAAAATCAACTTGATAAACTTATTGTACAAAATTTTATACAAAAATCAAATGATATTAATCCACAATTTGTTGAATCTATTGAACAATCAAATTTATTTCAACAATCACAACAACAACAATCAATTAATTTAAGTAATCAATCATTATCTGTATCAACAACAAGTTTATCAAAACGTAGTATAATTAGTAAAACAATACCTATTTTACCTGATTATTTAGTTGATTTTAATTATATTATATTGGGTACTGTTCGACAACAAATAATATATATTAAAAATCCAACAAATAATAATATTACATTTCGTTTTGATCGATTAGCATATAAAAATACAGGTTTTTCATTTGATTGTGATCATATTAAAAATTTACCACCTGGTGAAATTATTCCAATAACAATTACATTTGATCCACGTGGAGCTAATCTTGAATTAGGATCTGTAGAATGTCGAGTACCAGTTGAGGTAAAGATAATTTTACACTTAAAATTTCGTTTTTTAAATGAAAAATTGAAAGTATATTTTCTAATGATTTAAATAGAGTTACAAAAAAAAAACAAAAACTTTCGCTTCTATATGTTCGGCATTTGACTCAGATAATAGACTATGATGAGTGGTGTCAAAGCGTACTAAGATAGTTCGGTTGTCTGAGCTTTTTTTTTTCTAGACTTATAGAATTTCAAGTTTCACTGATTTTTTTTTAATTTTCTCTTTGAGACATAAATGCTAAAAACTTTCTGATGAAAAAAATAATTATTTTTCGTAGAATGATATTCATACTATCCTAATGACAACCATAGATATCGGATGAAAAAATCCAATAAACATTAGATATTTCATAAACAAAATTACATCAGACATTCGTGAACGTTCTCTCGTGAATTATAGATTTTCGAAGTAAAATTCATTTTTTGTCTTTTTTGAAATGATAAAAGAAAATATTATCCTTAATTTAATGCGTGACATACAATATATCTTACTAAGATATTGAATATTTTTTTTTATTAGGTTACTTCTGGTCCTACATTTCATTTACGTCTTAAAGCTATTGTAACAATGCCAGATTTAAATGTATCCAATGATACACTTGATTTTGGTACTGTTAAATGTGGTGAATGTAAAATTGCAACAATACAATTACGAAATCCACAAGAAATTCGATGTGAATGGATTGCTGCATATCCAGGAGTAAGTGTTTAATGAAGATTTAAATATTCTATATATATATAGTTTTTATTAATTAATTTAAAGGAAGATTCAAATGGTAAACAAGTAGGTCGTTTTCCACGTCGTGGTAATACTAGTGCTAATCGACGAAAACCATCAACACGTATTTTTGAAGTTTTACCACCATCTGGTGCACTTTTACCTGGTCAAAAAACAAATGTTCAAATTAAATTTACACCTACTGAAGAAGTAAATTAGTTCTTCTTTTTTTTTTTCTATTGAATATAATATATTATAAATTTAGACAAATTATGAATCACGTGTTTTATTACGTATTAATCAAAGTAGTCAACGTTTAATGATTATATGTCGTGGTGTAGGTCTTGAACCTCAAATTATAATTGGACAAATGCAGGGTGATATATTTGAACCAACAACATCAATTGTTTTTAATCCAATTTTAACACATAGTCAAGGTGATGAACAAGATATTGTTATACGTAATCCATGTACATTTCCAGTTGAAATTTATAATCTTGAATTTGATAAACAATATCTTGAAGAAGAAAAAGTAAATTATTTCTCTATAATTTATTTGATTTTATAATAATTGTTGTCTTTCATATTTTTTTTTAGATTCTTCGTCTTTTACCAGGTTATGATGAAAATAATAATATTCTTTTACCAACACGAGCTGCTGGAGATAAATTACCAGCTGAATTACAAAAATTTTATGATGGTAAATATTATTTAATGATGTTCTAAATACATATATTTCGTTTTGGTATAATTTAGATGTAGTCAAACGAGCAGAAGAAGAAAAACAAGGAGATGTAACAAAAAGAACAGATGGTAAGAATTTTAATTCTAACTAAGTTAGAAAGAAGAAGGCATTGAAGGCGATTGTCCCTGTCTTCCGAAATATTTTTCGATTTTTCTTAATAGAAAATGCTAAAACAAAAAAAAAGAAGCGATACAATCTCTAATAAACTTCAAAACAAATTTTTATGATCTTGGTCACTTTCCTTTTTTTTAAAATCTTACATACAGTTTCAGATACTTTATTTTTAACTTTTTGTTTTTTTAGAAACACCATTCCCTATTGATGGAATTGAATCAAATGGTGGTGAATTAATTTCTTCATCACAACAACCAACTACTAGTGGTGAACGTATTGTTGATAGAGCAATTTCAAATTCTATTGGTGAACCTACTGATTCGTCTACTGATAAAAGTGAAACAACATTAAAACGTGTTGCAGAAAAAATTATTAATTATGATATGACACCTGTTGCACAAGCATTAGCTCGTCATTTAGGTATTGATTTAAGTTCAGATGGTATACAAGCACGTAATCGACGTGGTATTTCTATTATTGTTCATGGACCACCTGGTTCAGGTAAACAAAAGAAGAAAAAAAACATAAAAAAAACATTTTTTTTTCATATAATAATACTCTATAGGAAAAACCATGATATCACGTGAACTTAGTCAACGTTATGATTGTGCATTATTAAATCTTGATCAAGTAATTATTGATGCTATTGATAGTCCACAACGAAGTGAATATGCTCAACGTGCTTATTTAATGTGTCGAGATGCATTTGAAAAACATGTTGAAGAACAACGAACAACAGAAATTGATGCTGATCATGCTCCTACAACTCAATTAGGTAGAATAAACAACATTTTATTCTTAAATTAAGAATTAAAAAAAAATATTTTAATTCATATAAGAGAACAAATACGATCATTAGTAGAGGTCGACAAGCTCAGCTCAATTTCGCTCAGAGGAACTGTTCGAACAGCTCTTTTGAGCTGAGCTGAACTGGTGAACCGGTTCGTTTGAGCTGTGTTCCCAAAACAGAACACTTTTGTTCTGTTATGGGAATTATTTCCCGAAAACGGAACAAAAGTGTTCTGTTTTGGGAACACAGCTCACAGCTCAAACGAACCGGTTCACTAGTTCAGCTCAGCTCAAAAGTGCTGTTCGAACAGTTCCTCTGAGTGGAACTGAGCTGAGCTTGTCGACCCCTAATCATTAGCATGTGTTTTTGAAAATTTTCTTTTGTTTTAGGTGCACATACTAAAAAAGTTCCTGATAAAAAGAAAAAAAATTCTGAAGCAGTTGATCCAAATGCTCAACCAACAACTGTTGAAGCACAACCATTGACTTCACCTCTATCAGTTAAATTTAAAATACATAAAAATCCAATAATTCATACAGATGGAGATTTATTGGAAACACGAAATGAAACAGATGATAATCCAGATGATACAGATGATCAAGAAGAACTTATGACATATGTTCTTACAGAAGATATTTTTGTTGAAATTCTTTCTGCAAGACTTCAAGTATGTTTTTATGATGAGTCTCTTTGAATTGATAATCATTATATTCTCTATCTATTTCAATAGAGATCTGATTGTATTCATGGTGTTATATTCGATAGTCTTGAAACATCATTTCTTGCTAATTGTTCACAAGCAGCAATAGCAGTTCTTAAAGCAATTAATAATCGTTCATATATTTATGCATTAATAACAAATTTTTCTTATTCGAAATACAAAGAAGCTCAAGCTAGAGCTGAAGAAATTCGTCGTATGATATTTTTTTTTTTGGAATCTATCTTATAATAATTAATTAATATTTTGTTTTTTTTTTGTTCATTAGGTTTTGAAGAACAACAACGAGAACAAAATGAAAATGAATATGTTGAAGAAATGGGTGAAGATGAATATGATGCATTACCTGAAGAAGAAAAACAACGTATTGATCAAAAACGATTACAACGAAAAAAAGATCGTCTTCTTAGGTATGATTATTTATTTCATATAATATTTGCATTTTTTTTTTGTTTTTAGAGAACAACGAAATAAAGAAGAAAAAGCTCGATTAGAACAAGAACGTTTAATGTTAAAAGAAGCAGAATCACAGTATGAATATTTTATTTTTCATATTCAATTCTTCTGTTATTTTTTTTTTTTTCGTCTATAGAAAAAAACCAAAAAAACCTGGTTCAAATCCTGCAGCAGCAGCAGCTGCAAGTAAAGGTGGAATAGCACCAACAAGTGGAAGTGAAAAAGGTACTTCAGCAGCTACAGCTGCCACGGCTGCAGCAACTGCTGCTGGTGGAAAAACAAGTGCTCGACCTACATTAATTAGTGCACGTGGTCCACCTGTTTCTGATCGACCTAATGCAAAAGTTGAAGGAATAAGTAGTGATGAAAATGAAAAGTATAAAAATTTGAAAATTTTTCTTTATAAACAATTAAAAATTATATAATTTTAGAAAAAAGACAAATAAAAGTGATGCAAAATCTGCTAAAGAAACTACTATTAAAGATGATTCAGATAATGCAAATAATTTAGCTAAAGCATCAGTTACAAGTGATGCTGAAGATGAAAAAGAAAAGAAAAAAGATCGAGAATTATTAGTCAAGTAATTTAAACAAAAAACAAATTATTTTAAAATTGAAATTTTTTATTTTATTATAGATTTAAAACATTTGAATTTTATCGTAATGATTTACTTAATGTTTTTGATTTATGGGATCGAACAAAAGGTGTAACACGAAGTCCACCAACACCAACAAATCAATCTGAAGAAGAACATACAACTGGTGCAATGGGAACTGGTACTGTTATGAAAAAACCAATACAAAAAAAAGGTAAATATATTTTTTTTGTAAAATTTTATTTATAGATTTCAATTATTAAATGTTAGAAATTCAATTTTTATTTTTTTTTATACGTTTATAGTATTTACAAGAGGAAAACGTATTTTTCAAACTTTTATTATTATTTGCATTTTAATTTTTTGTTAAATTTATTCTAGTTAAATATTTATTTTATATATATATATTATTTTTTCTAGGTAAAAAAACTGATGCAAAAGATAGAGAAAAAACTGAAAGAGCAGAAGATGGTGGTCAAGCAGGTACTCCTAATCAACAACAACTTGCAAGTACAACACCAACAAATCTCGTAAGAACAAAAAAAAAAAGAAACCAATTTTTTTCGAATAAAGTTTTATATTTTATTGTTGAAGGATGAAAGTGGACAACCAATCAAAGATGATTCTAAAAAACAATCACCTTCAGGAACAGATGAAATTATTAATATTCCAACAATTCAAATTGATACACCTGTAGATTATAGTTCAAATCAACCATTACCATCAGAATTATTGGATTCAATTAAAAATCGTTTACCAACATTAGATCAAGTAGATTTTTTTTTTTTGAATATTATTATTTCTGTACAGACTTTTGTTCGAATAACTTTTGATATGGAATATCGTCTCGATCGAGAAGCGAGCTAATAGTCTCCGAATCTTTTTTTTCTTTTAGTCATGCAAAACTTAACAATCTATATATTGATTTTAAGTAGCATATTTAAGTTTTTGTTATAATTCGAATTAAATGAATGAGAATGTTCGGATATAATATCTATATTTCTGGAAATTTCGCCTTTTTATTAAGAAAATTTGATAATTAAAAATTGTTATCATATATTTTTTTTTCTAGGTACTTGATGGAATGGGTCAAGGTCCACGTGGTCCACCTGTACCTAGACCATTTGAATTTGCTGTTGTTCCATTTCCTGAACCACGTACAAATCCACCTTGTGCTGAATATGGACAATATTTTTTTGTTGCTACACATGAAAATGATCCGTAAGAATTACTCATTATCAAATAAAATATTTCACAACTTTTATTCATTTTATTAGAAATTTATATCCCGAAGATGGTAAATCAAAAGATGGTAAAACACCAGAACCAACATATATTCCTGATGATGTCGATAGTAAAGATGCTGGAATAAAAGGAAGACGTAGTCGAGGTATTTTTAATTGAAAAAAAAAAAAAGAACGAAAAAGAAAATAATAATAAATTTTTTAATTGATTCTAGGTGATCGAGAATCTATGACAGCTAAACGTAAGACAAGTGGTGGACCTGGTGGTAGTACTGAAGGTAAATCAACAGGACGTGTTACATCGAAAGCAGGTGGTCGTATTGGTGGAAAACAATCACCAACACATCATTCATCTGATGGACAAGATGGTACAAGTGAATCAAGTCTTGAAAAACTTTTACCAAGGTTAAATTTAGTTTTTATTCTATTGATAAGGATTGAATTATTTGATATTTTTTGTTTTTTTAGAATTGTTCGTTTTCGTTGGATTATTCCTGCTAATAGTGAAATTCGTGTTCGTCTTCGTTTTATTTCAAGTGAAGTTGGACAATTTGATCAAACAATATCTTTTGAAATTATTGGTACAAAACGAAATTATAAAATATTTTGTCGTGGTGTATGTACTTTTCCATCGATAAGTCGAGAACCTCGGTTAGTATTATTATTATTATTATTAGTGCTTGTATATTAAATTGATTTAATTTTGATTAGAACTGTTTTTCCAAATCGACAAAAAACACGTAAACCAAATGAAATTGTTCATAAAAAATTTATTCTTTCAACTGAACAATATGATTTTGGTCCATTAGTACTTGGCAAAGATATAAATAAGTATGTAAATTAATTTGTTTTTTTTTTTTTTAAAAAAATTATTTAAAAAAAAAATTTTTTTTTTTTTTTTGAAGAATACGTACTGGTATTTATTCAAATAATATTGAAACATTAACAATTGATAATACATCACCAATGGATGTTGAAGCTCTATTTTGTTTCTTAAATGAAGTTGAATCATCAAAAGCAGCATTTTTTCTTGAACCAACTGAAATGCATTTAAAATCAGGAGAATCAAAAGTATAAAGAAATTTAACAACAGAACTAAAAAGAAAATCTTTTCTTTTTGTTTCTATGATAGATACTTAAAATTATGGCTAATCCACCAAGAGAAGGTCATTTTGAAGATTCACTTGTTTGTTGTATTAAAGAAAATCCTGAACCAATTGTTTATAAATTATGTTGTGATGGTTGTACACCTGAATTACAAATTGAACCAACATCATTCGATTTTGGTCAAGTATTACTTTATAGGTATACACTGCCTACCAATAGTATTCGATCAAGTTTATTTTCAATTTTTTTCTACTAGAATAGTTCTTGCGTTCAATCGCTCGAGCTTCGCATACACACTAAGTAACTACAAGAGTAGTTGTTAGTGATTTGTCCTGGAACAGTTGGGTCAAGGTTTTAGATCAGAGATGTCCATCGCGGCGCTGCCGCGCCGCTGCCGCGATGGCGGTGGCGGCGCGGCAGCGGCAGGATTTTTTTGGAGAACATTGAAAAACTGTATGAATTTAATAGAATTTCAGGATTTACAAATGAAACGCCCTGATATTGAATAAATCCGATGGATTAGTACCCATATTTCTGGTCAAATGTAGTCACAGCAGTGAAATTAGAAACACTTTTTTGAAAACCGTCGCGGCAGCGGCGCGGTGGCGGCACGTTTATTTTATAATTCATCGCGGCAGCGGCAGATTTTCAGCCACAATGGACATCTCTGTTTTACAAAGATCAGACAGGCTGCTCAGGATAGATAGACCGTTTGCCTGTCACAGTTTTCGTGATTTTTAATTTAAAAAAATCACACTGAAGTACTTTGTACGATGTAACATGAAAAATAAGTAAATACCATAGAAGACAAGTCAGGCCGATGTAAGCGCTTCACACTTGTGGGCAGACTCATCTTTATAAATTGCATATCAATATCATTATTTGGACTTGTATTAACTGATAGTGAAAAAAAAAAAGAAATTGTAAATAAATCTGATTGAATAATTTTGAGATACGTTGTCAATATATAAATAAATCAAATTTTTTATTTCTCTATTATTTTTTTATAGAAAAGAATCACGAATTATACGACTTAAAAATACGAAATTAATTCCTGTTCGATGGCGTCTAATAGGTATTGGTCAAGAAGGTATTGGACAAGAATTTTCAACTAAAACTGATACGGGCATTGTTGAACCATTGAGTACATATGAATTACAATTAAATTATTATGCTAGTCGACCACGATCACCAGCATCACAAAAAAATAAACTTCAACTTAAACTTGAAGTAAAATTAATTTACTTAAATTTATTTTGATATTTTTTTTGCAAAATTTTCTTTTCTTTTCAGATATCCGATACTGAAGGTATGCCAGGTGCTATTAAAACTGTCAATATTCCTGTTATGGTTGAACCATATGATATTGTTTTGGATATGACATTTCAAAAAGGTAATGATCGTGGTATTGATTTTGGTAATGTACGTGTTAATCAAGAAACAAAACAATCATGTATACTTAAAAATAAAGGCAAACGAGAAATAAAATACAAGTAAAATATTTTTTTATTAAAAAAATTATTTAATTATTTTTTTGTTTTAAATTAGATTTGAATTAGTACCAGATACAAAATCAAAAGTTGATGCAAGTAAATTTTTTGAAATTGTACCAAAACAAGGAACTTTAGCTGCTGGTGGTGATCGAAATGCTCAAGCAACTTCAGTTAATGTAAATATTTAATTACTAATATAAAAATAGTTTTATTAGTCGAATAAATTTAATATGATAATAATAATATTTTTTTTTTGTTATTGTTAAAAGATTGTCTTTAAACCAACAACTGAAATACATCTTCGTGAAGCTGAAATAATTGTTGTTAGTGTTATAAATGTAGCACCATCACCAAAAGGAATTGAAAGTGGTGGACAACTTAATCAATCAACAACACATATAGGTGCATCACTAAGTACATTAAAAGGTGGTAGTGAAGCAGGTGCTATACGAAATGTTATTGCAGCTCAACAACAACCAGTTGCACCTCCAATTGAAGAAGAAGTAGCACGTATTCGACTTAAAATTTCAGCTAAAGCAACATATAGCAAGTAAGTTTTTTTTTTTTTGCGTTTTATTCTATATTTGTTAATTTTAAATAGATTTGTTTTAATGCCTGAAAAAGAAGTTAATTTTGGTCCTATGCCAATGGGTACTTCTCGTCGTATAGAAAAATTTATTATTGAAAATCATGGTGAACATGATTTTAAATATATTATATCAAAATATCAACGTGAAGCTTCACCACAAAAATTAAATATTAAGTAAGTTTTTAATTAATTTTATTTCTTTTTCTTCTTTACATTATTTCTTATTATAATAAAATAAAAGAGAATATAAGAAAGTTTCACCAGCTAATCGTGCTGATTCAGCAATGAGTGCAAAAACAGTACGAAAATATGATCAATCAAGGTATCAAAAAAAAAAAATTTTTTTGCCAACTAATTAAAAAAGGAAAATAAATCGATTCCACATACACGATTTTATTTTATTTTTTGCTCACTTATTTTACACATTAAAGAAATATATTTTTTTTACTTTTTGTATAATGAAAATTAATTCAATTACTTTTTATTTTATAGAGATGTACCAACTCAAGGTCGTTTACAAGTTGGACCATTTACTATTTCACCTGCATTTGCAATGATTATGCCAGGTGGAAATACAACTGTTTCTGTTGAATGTATACCTGAATCAGATGTACCAAGAAAATTTGAAGAAGTAATTTTGAATTGTTTTTTTTTAATAACTAATATAGCACAGAATTTTACTAGATTGAGCATTTAGAAATATTTTGTAGTCAAGTGCTAAAGTCACATAAAGTATACAAAAGTTGTTAGCGAAATCCCTGTGAAACACGATATACCTATTGTTACTAATACCCTAAAATACTGAACATATTCCATCAGTATTTGCTAAATTTACAGAGTAAAACTTCATAAAGGAAATACTTCAGTTAGATGTTAAATATACAGAATATTTGATATTCTCTTGAAGGCGACTCAGAGATGTCCATCGCGGCGCGGCAGCGACAGGTTTTTTTAAAAAATCACCGCGGCAGCGGCGCGGTAGCGGCAGATTTTTTAAAAAGTCATCGCGGCAGCGGCGCGGTAGCGGCAGGGTTTTTAAAAAACCATCGCGGCAGCGGCAGGGTTTTTTGGAGAACATTGAAAAACTGTATGAATTTAATAGAATTTCAGGATTTACAAATGAAACGCCCTGATATTGAATAAATCTGATGGACTAGTACCCATATCTCTGGTCAAATATAGTCACAGCAGTGAAATTAGAAACACTTTTTTGAAAACCGTCGCGGCAGCGGCGCGGTGGCGGCACGTTTATTTTATAATTCATCGCGGCAGCGTTTCTTTTATAAGTCATCGCGGTGCGGCAGCGTCGCGGCAACATTTTTTATAAACCGTCGCGACGCGGCAGCGGTGCAGCAGCTTTTTTTTCTAAGGCCGCGGCGCGGCAGCGGCAGATTTTCAGCCGCGATGGACATCTCTGAGGCGACTATCCGTCGCTGTGACGATTCATGAAGGGCGCCTCTGTGAGGAGTTCAAAATTTCTATCCTATATACTTCAATACTTCTTTCAGATCGTGTTTTACAAAAGGTTCTCTATGGCATACTGTAGTAGCAGGATATACTGAACTCAATAGATGCAGTAAAGTTACCATGTCAATAATTCAAATAGTCAAAGTCTTTCTGCTTACAAGTTTTTAAACTAATGATAAACTCTGTTTTCTAGTAACCCTTGTTTTAGGCATTTTTCTATGTTGAAACACCTGTACATTCTCTCTGCTTTCAGAGGTGGCTTACACCACTATTTACAGCTGATTTAAAACAGTTTTATTGATGAATGCTTCACACAGAAACATTCTGCTGTATTGTCAAATAAGCTTTTGCTTGATACTATTGCCTTAGAGGTATTACTAATAACCATAAATCAATAAGCGAAAATTAAATTACTTAAAAGAAATTTCGATATTTTAATTATTTGGATGATTTTTTTTTTAGGAAATTCAAATTGATATTGCTGATAAAAATCCAGCTGAATATCCTCAAGGAATTCTGTATAAATTAAAGAGTGAATTAATAGTACCACAAATTGATACAAGTGATATATCATCTATATTTGAAGAACATCGTATTGTTCGAAATCTTTCATCATTTCAAAATATTGCTGATGTAATAATATTTTTATCTTTTATTAATAAAATTTATTTCATTTCTTTTTGTTTTAAATATTTTAGTCAGTAACTGGAGGTGTTTATGGTGAAGAAGAACGTCGTTTTCAATTTCGAAATGTTATTGTTGGTCGAACATCAAAAGCAAGATTTAAAATAACAAATTCACAAAAAGTATTTAATTTACTTTATTTTCAAAATTTACAAAATTTAATAAATAAAATTTTTATTCAGGTACCAGTTGATATAACTCTTGCTTTACGTCCAATAAGTAAAGTACAGCGAGTCGTTGAAGCATTTGAACTTGATACTAATCGTGCACAAATTCCACCATATAGTAGTTATTTTGCTGTTGTTTCATTTACACCAACATCTATGCAATCTTATTCAGCAATATTTGATGTTATTATTGATGGACAAGTTAAAACAAATAAAGATACACGTATTACACCAAATTTTTCATTTGAAATTCATGGTGAAGGACATTTACCTCGTGTAACTATTTTACGACCAGCTATAAGAAATAAAAAAGCACAAGCAATGATGATATTTAATAAATTATTACTTGGACGACAAACAACACAACAACTTCTTTTACTTAATGATGGTGTTTTACCTGCTAAAGTAAATTATCTTAATATTGTATATATATATATATATTGATTGATGAATTTTATTTTTAAAAAAAAAGGTTGATTTTTATTTACATGATGTTGAAAATGTTTTTTCAATTGAAACATCAAATGAAAATCCACATCCAGAACATCTTGTTATTAATGATATAACACGAAAAGCTACAGTTGCTTCAGCTATATTTGAAGTTGGTCAAAAAATAGCACTTGATGTTTTATTTAAACCTAAAACAACACAAGGACCACAACGATATGAAGCTGCTCTTCGACTTGTTGTTGTTGATAATCAATATGAAGATACAATTGTTCAATTAATTGGTGAAAGTTATACTGATGATATTACACTTGATAATATTCATGGATTTGTTACAGCTGATGAAAATTTAACTATTGAAAGTGGTCAACAGACTATTGTGGAAGAAGATGCACCAAGTAAATATTGAATATTCAATTCAGATATTTCTCTCAAATAGGAAAGTAACATGATAGTTGTATCCTAGACAATTGCTCTCGTGATATTAGGAAGTCAATAGTGATGTAATGGAAGCAGGATCCTTGAATAGTAGAGTGATCGAGGACTCTATACCAATGTTGTTTTGAGATCAATAGAATTCATGCAAGTCGTGTCGCCGATTGTTTATTGTGAGCTTCATTCTTTTCTGTCAGAGAGGAAATAAATGTAAGAATGAAAAGAAAGAGTAGATCTGTATATAAGTTTGATTGTTGTGTACTCAAAAAGTGAGTACACTATAGAATCGGTCAGTGTGTCCGTCCGGCCGGCCGGCCGTTTACACGATAACTTTCGAAAGGAGAGTCAGATCATGATGAAATTTTCTACACAGTTTAGTCTCATCAATGTCTCGGTCGAGTTCGAAGATGAGAAGGATCCGTCAAGAAATGGCTGAGTTATCGAAAAAATTGTCATTATTGACCAGACCATCCCTGAGGGGGAGTACAGGGATTTTTTCAAAAAAAAAACATTTTTCTCAGAATTATTCACAACATATATAAATCGACTCAGTTTTTAACGCTGATTCCGAATCTGATATTAGTTTTGAACAAAATCGTAGCTTTCTAACAAAACGTCGCCTAAAAAAGGTCTCAAAATGCACAAAAACTGCATCCAGAAAGCAAATTGCCTAGATATGTCTCAGATGATAAAAAACAAAGTGAATATACCTGTTCACTTTTTGAAGTACACATAACACTCGGATTTAAATCCGAGGTTTTCGCATTTTTTTTTTAATTCTAATTAAAAGCCTTAGGGAAAGAAAAATGTTTACTATCAATTAATTATTAAAAAAATTTCGATTTTAATAATTTATTTTGCATAGTTTCACTTTCAAATACAATAAATTTTGGTGAAGTTCATTTAAATGAATCTCGACAAATACTCTTTTCTATAACCAATCATCATCAAAAAGATTCTGTACGATTTGAATGGCCTGAACATTCTCAATGTACATTTTCACCACGTGTTGGTCATCTTCATGCTGGTAAAAAAAGAAAAACTAGATTTTTTTTTTTGTTTTTCTTTATGAAATTTTTAATTTAAGGTTGTACAAAAGATATTCAAGTAACATTTAAAACAAATAAACCAATTCAATTAACAAAAGAAAAAATTCTTTGTTCAATAATTAAAATAACATTTGATCGTCCAATTAATGAAGTACCTGATTGGGATGATCGTATGCGTTCAGTTCGATGGATTGATGTTCCACAACCTGTTATTGATACAACTAATCCTGAAATACAACGTACAAATCGTCCAGCAAGAAAAAAAATTATTGAAGCTGATATTGAACCAATACATCAACGTATTGAAGAACAAACACGTCTTTTAGATATATATATATCTGCTATAGCTGATTATTGTCGTTATAAATGTAGTGATTTTGAAATTCGATATTTTGATACAGCTATATTACAAACACGTATTCATGAGTATGTCTTAGATTTTTGTTTTTTTGTTTTTTGTATTAATCAATCAAAAACAAAAATTTATATTTTAGAGTAACAATTACAAATCGTGGTAAAGTATCATTTAATTATTCATGGCAAGTACGTATGGAAGATAATCAACGACCATTTACACCAATGATTGATCGTGATCCACCAACACCTGAACCAACCGATGGTACTCGAAAAGGACATAAAGGTGGTACACGTACTCAAGCAGCAAATATTCCAACAACAGATTCATCAAATATACAAGAATCACCAACAGTTCCAACAACATCACGAGGAAAAGATAAATTAACAAAAGAAACAAGTAAATTAACAGGTAAAGATGGACAAACAGGAAGTAAAATAAAAGGTGCACGACCATCAATTAAATCAAATATAACAGCTGAAAGTTTAGCTGAAGAAAAAGAAAATGAAAATGAACCTGGATTTTTTACTGAAGGTGCTAATTTAACTGATATACAACGTGGTGATTCAGAATCAAGTGTTCGATCACCACCAAGTATTATGACTGAAGTTGGTTATATACCATTTATGATTGAACCCGATACTGGTTCAATTGCTGTTGGTGCTAGTCAAATATTTAAAATTAAATTTGCACCACTTGATGTTAATGATTATCAAGCACGATTGACTTGTTGGTTAGTTAAAGTGTTTTGTATTGCGTTGAAAAAAAAAAACAAAGAACTTTTTTTTGTTTAGTATACCGAATTTAGAAACAGCTAAACCAGGACCAGTTGTAGCTGTTCGCGGTCGAAGTATTTTACCATTCTGTCATTTTGAATTAGAAGAATCTGATTATTTAACAAGTGGTCGACGACGTCTTGATCTATTAATTAATAATAGTTCATCACAAGCACCAGCTACATTTATTGATCGTCAAACTCGTGTTATTGAATTTAAAGCTGTTGGTATCGGATCAACACTAAATAGGTTAGTTAAATATTATAAAACTCTAAATGAGTTACGTCTAGTTGAAGAATTTTTAGTCTAGTGAATGTACTCACAAAAAGACTTTTCAATTCATTAATTCGACTCAGTACATAGGAAAGAAATATTCTTTTGAGTTAAAATTTTCAATACATTCTATTGAGATATGAATCTGTCTCAGAGATGTCCATCGCGGCGCTGCCGCTGCCGCGATGGCGGTGGCGGCGCGGCAGCGGCAGGTTTTTTAAAAACCATCGCGGCAGCGTTTCTTTTATAAGTCATCGCGGTGCGGTAGCGTCGCGGCAACATTTTTTTATAAACCGTCGCGGCGCGGCAGCGGCAGATTTTCAGCCGCGATGGACATCTCTGATCTGTCTATTAGCAAAATCTCAAGTCAAAATATCATATCAAAGACTAAGATTTTAATCAAATAGCTATAACTCTAGATAAAAGGCCTATATGGACGATCTCCTTTTAGACTTCTTATAATTTTCACTGTGTCCTATTTATTGGATAGAATATAATCTTGTTTTTACAAATAAATAAAACTTTTTCTAGATCATTTTCTGTATTAAATCCAACGGATACTGATTATACATATCGATGGATATGTGAAGATAATCTTGATTTAACAAAACAACCATCATTTGTATGTCGTACTGTACAAGGCAAAATAGCATCAGGCAAAGGAGTTTTAGTAAGTAAACTGATATCATTTTTTTTTAAAAGTTTTCTCTAATTAAAAAATATTTTGATATTTTCTTTTTTTTAATCAGATGTCATTTGATTTTTTTCCACGTTCATTTGGAATAATTGAATCAATGTATCGTTTTGAAATTCCAACACATTCTTTATCTGTACCATTTTTACTTGTTGGTCAAGTTAATGAACCACAAATATTATTTGATCGTACATTTATTTCATTTCATCCAGCTTTAATTGGTCATTATGTTGAAGAAATTTTAACATTAATTAATAAAGAAAATCGTTCATTTCATTATCAATTTCTTGAACGTTGTTTTATTAATGGTACAACAAATAATGATTTAATTATTGAACCATCATCATCTGGTATAATAAATGAAAATACACGTTTACCATTACGTTTAATATTTCGTCCAACACAAAATCGTTCATATACATATTTATTACAATGTCGTATTGATGAAACAATTGAATTATTAAATGTTAATATTAAAGGTGAAGGTTTTGCTAATTTATCAAGTGTACAATGTGAAACAATTGATGGTAATCGTTATGATTTAAAATCTATACAAAATGGTACAAATGAAATACATTTTGATGATGTTTTAATTGGTAATATAGCATCAAGACAAATACAAATATCAAATGATGGTAAATATTCATTTGATTTTAATTGGATACATGATAATGAACAAGATATGGGACCATTTACAATAACACCAATAAAAGGTACAATATCAAATAGTCAAAAACAAATATGTCATATTACATTTGAACCACGTACACGTGAACATCGTTCATTAATACAACGTTCAATACAATTAAATATAATTAATGGTTTAAAATATGATTTATTACTTATTGGACAAACAACAACACCAAATATAAATTTTTCATTTTTAACATATAATTTTGGTACATGTTTTGTTTATCGTGCTGGTATGCCAGAAAATACATGTCAATTAATAATAACAAATCAAGATACAAAAGATCATACAATTGAATGTTTATATCAATCAACAGCACAATTAATGTTAGATTTTAAAACAGGTTTAATATCATCAAAACAAAGTATTGTTTGTAAATTTACATTTTATCCACGTGAACAAAAAATTTATCGAGAAAATATTCAATTTGAAATTGATGGTTTAACAATTATTAATGTTATTATTGAAGGTGAAGGTGTTGATTTTCGAGTTGAATTAGCTGAACCAAAACATAAAATTCTTAATTTAGGTAAGATTAATTAATATTAAGAAGAAATAAAATTTCTATTAGTAATAAACATATTCTAATTATGAATGATCTCAGGTTATTTTTTTTGGACTTTTTTTCTACTGTTTATTAGTTGTTTTTTATGTATGATGAGTAAGTATATTTGATTTATGAGAGTTATCGATAGAGAATGAATGGTTCGATCAATGTCAACGCCTTATAACATTGAATGCTAATGAGTATAAAATGATAGCAATTATTTGTCAATTAATAAATCAGAATCTAGCTTAACTAATGTTTATATCAAATTGAAAAGTTCAAAAAGATAAATCATATTTTATTTTAGGTGCATTACAAGCAGGTAAAAGTGTTACACGTGAAGTTTGTCTTGTTAATCGTAGTCGTGCATGTATATCGAATTGTTACGTAACATTACTTGCATCGGAAAATAGTACCGTTCGTGATACTCTAACAATTCAACCAACAAGTCCAATAGCATTAAAAGCTCGAGGTGGTACAACAACCGTATCAGTTAAATTTACACCTCGTTCACGTTTAGCACCATTTGTTGAACAAATCTTTTTAAAATATGGTGATTTAGATGTTCCAATGTTTGCTGTACGTGGTTGTTGTCAAGGTTATGATATAACTCTTGATTCTGATACACTTCCATTTGGTGCTGTTGGTAAAGATTGTTCATTAACACGTAAACTTATTCTATCAAATCGTGGTGATATTGGTGCATCATTTTCATGGAATATTGCACAATTACGTGATACACCATTTCGTGTATCACCAACAAATGGTTATATTGCACCAGGACAAGAAACAACAATTGAATTTATTTTTCAACCACGTACTATACGACATGATATACGTTGTGATAAACTTGAATGTCGATTAGAAGGTACACAATCTGTTTATGTAACATTATGTGGTTCATGTATTGAAGTTGCACCTGCACGTGAAACAATTGTTATAACAACAGCTGTACGTTCAAAAGAATTATCAAAACCAATTGTATTAAAAAATAATACAAATACATTATGGACATTAACACCAATTATAAGTGGAGAATATTTTTCTGGTTCAGATACAGTTATTATTGAATCAAATTCATCAAAAAATTATGAATTAACTTATTTACCATTAACTGAAGGTAATTATATTAAAATAATAATTTAAAATTAAATTTATTTTTTTCTATTTAGGTAAACATAATGGTACATTATTTTTTCCATTACCAGATGGTAATGGTCTTCTTTATAATGTTATTGGTAATGCTGAAGCACCACGTGCATCAGGTAAATTTATACGTGAAGTACCATGTAAAACACCATATGTTGAATTATTATCAATTGAAAATTGGTTAAAAAAACCACAACGTTTTCGTGTAACACATGAAATAATTAAACAAGATCGTCCAGAAGTTACAACAACAATAAAATATTTAGAATTTATTGATGTTGCACCTAAATCAAAACGTGATTTTAAATTACAATTTTATTCATATAAAGAATGTATACAACAAATAAAAATTATATTTAAAAATGAACAAACACAAGAATATATATGGTATGATATAACATTTAAATCAATTGTTGATAAACGTAATGCACCAACAATAGCAAATATTGATTTAACAACACATGTACGACAACAAACATCACATGATATTATACTTGATAATCCATTACCACATAAAGTTACATTTCAAGGTCAATGTTCACATCCAGATATACTTTTACCACCTGAACAAGTTTCAATTCCAGCTAATTCACAAGTAAATATTTTCTATAATAATTAGATTAGAATTATCAATAATACTTTAAAAGTTACAATAACAATTTTCTATGTAATGTAATGGAATATTTTGTTTTTCTTTATTAGGGTTCATTTAATTTTACATATATGCCATTAAAAGCAGGCAAAGTTGAAACACGTCTTGAAATGAATTCAACTGAACTTGGTTTATATACTTATATGTTAACATTAAATGCATTACCAGCACGTCCTGAACGAACATTATATTTTAAAGCACCATTAGGTAATTTACAAGTATTAACAGCAAAATTTACAAGTTATGCACGTACAAAAACTGATTATATTTGTAAAGTATGTTAATTTGAAGTTTAAGAAAATAATGTTTTCTTTTTAATTAAAATTTATTTATTTATTTAGATTGATCATCCAGATTTTATTGTTGATAGAACTGTAACAGCAGCACCAAGTTCATCACCATCAACAATGGAAGTTAGTGTTGATGTTACATATGAACCATCACAATTAGGTGATGTACGTGCAACATTAACAATTAGTTCACCATCAAGTAGTGATTATACATTTCCATTAGTTGGTCTTGGTGAATTACCTAAACCACAAGGTCCATTTACAATTAAAGCTGGTGGTAATACAACAATAACATTTAAAAATATATTTGCTCAAGCATTAACATATACATTTAATGTTGATAATCCACTTTTTCATGTTACTAAAAGTCAAGAATTAATTCAAGCAAGAAAATCACATCGAATTGTTGTTTCATTTGATGGATCAGATACAACAAATAAAGCTGATGTTATGGCTAAATTAATTGTTTCATGTCCAAAAACTACAGGATCAACAAATACATCAAGTTCAAGTGTACAATGGATTTATTATCTCAAAGGTATTACACCTTCATAGACAATATTATTATTATTATTATTATTATTATGCATAATTGTCGAACATGAGAACAGTGATGAAAACATTAATTTTCTTTTTATGATGTTTTTTTTTTTTGTTTAGAAAAAAAAAATAATAATAAACTTTATTTCTCTTTAATTAAATAAAGATGAACTTATTTAATGAAAGTTCTGTTCAAATAAATTTGATTACTTCAAATGCAGCAAAAATTCTAATGAACGAAGACTATTTTTGCATTGAAGTTTGGAACCTAAAAAAAAACATCAAAAACTTCAACTAGCGAAGAAGATACTTTATTGTATGGGATAATAATATTAAAATTCTAAGAGAAGCCAAACATAAGTTAACAAATAAAATAAAATTATTTCGTTCAGTAGTTGTAAATGATAAACTATCGAAATATTATATTGTGTTTATAATAATATCGTTCATTACGATTATTACTACAACGTTGAATTGAAATTGTTTTGATTTATTTCAATCTTGCTACTAGACCCCTACATTAAATTGAATATACATTTGTTAATCATTTAAATATGTAATAAATTCTTATTGAACAAACATTAAGTCTACATTTTCAATATTTGATTATTGTTATTTTATTCAATTTGAAAACATATTCATCTGTTACAAGCAAAGATCTATATGATAATTATTGGCATGTTGTTTTCTTTTAATTCATTGAAGCATTTACTGAGTTATACTCAACAAAGTATATCAGAGAATCTCCAACAGCTGTAGTAGATAACTTTTGATAAAATAGAAACTTTTGTCTACTACTTAACATCTCTCTTTATTTGTATCGATTAATTTCTGTTCTGATTATTATTCTAAGATCTCTACCATATAGCTAAGATAGGTCTGAGCTAATGTTTAGGCAGAATGATCGGTTTACTAAAATTCTACAATTTATATTTATATCTCACGAGGGAACATCCTCAATTGTCAAATCGCTTTTCGCTTGGTTCTATTGCCATTCGATCAGTCTTAGTGACTAGTGAAAAAGCCTATTTTGGTTTGATTTTCTGATCTTCTGTTATTGACTTATGGACATTTTACTGGATTTTTGGCCTATGGGCATGAGATTCCATAAGAACCTGAATGATTGAATTTCAAGCTGAAATTTTGTCCATAGACAGCTCTCATAGTCATTAGAAAATTCTCAAAGTTTGAGCCAGGACAAATGTACCCTTACCCAGATATTAGCTTGTGTCGAAAATATCCCTGTTTTGAAACATAGTCGAAAAGAGACTTTTTTTTTAAATCTGAGTATCTCGATAACGATGCATTCGTTTTGGCTCAAACTTTGAGAATTTTCTAATGACTATGAGAGCTGTCTATGCACAAAATTTCAGCTCGAAATTCAATCATTCAGGTTCTTATGGAATCTCATGCCCATAGGCCAAAAATCCAGCAAAATGCCAATAAGTCAATAACAGAAGACCAGAAAATCAAATCAAAATAGGCTTTTTCACTACTCACCAAGACTGATCGAATGGCAATAGAAACCAGCGAAAAGCGATTTGACAGTTGTGGATGTTCCCTCAGCGATGATTTAACCAATATTTAAATGTGTTGACTATTGTATTGTAATTAATTATTTCATAAAATTACTTTTGCAAATAAATATGTGACTTTATATAGCATATTTGGATATATATGTTCTTTTCATTCCGTTGTACATACCCATCTCATTAGCGTGAAGATATAAGGATGCCTTATCGTACATTCTTATACTTTTCTGATTGTCTTCAATCATTTCTTCGTAGAATTTATTTGGAAAAGAATCTCCTTTTCTTTTCTTATTAAAAATAAATTTAAGTTCAATATTTTTATATTCAGAAAACATGATACAAAAAAAAATGTCTAAACCATTATTAGATCATAATAAATTTGATGAAATATTTTTCAATGAATTGTCATATATAAGTAGAATTAAATGTCTATTATTTACTCAAAATATACAGCATGAATAGTAACAACAGCAATCATATCTTTTGTTTCATAATTAACTGATAACATATTATCTGTTTTTGGATCCCATAAACAACGTGATCCAATACGTAAAACTTGATCACATTTTTGTATAATAACAGTTTGAATAACAATTTTATATCGTGGTAATTGAAAATTTTTAATTAATTGATGAACACTACGTGAAACTTCTTTAAGAAGTTCATTGACAGTTGCTGGATTATATATTTTATCTTTCATTTTTTCAACTAATACTTCAAGTGTTTTAGCTTGAAGTTTATATGGACGAAAACGATATTCATTATCAGGTTCCATACGATATGTATTTGGTCGAGGTTGATTCGGTGAAAGAAACATTGAAGATTTTCGACCTGTACCCATAGACATTGATAAACGTCGAAAAACTGCTTGTGATGGATGACGTTCAGGAACAGTTGTTGTAGCTGCTGCTGTATTAGCTGATGATGGACCAGTACCAGTAAGTGGTGCTTGTATATCATCACGTACAGCAGTCATTGGTGCTGCTGTTTTAATTGTATTCATACTACGAGGTTCAGTTTGAATTGTAAATCGACGATCAGTCATGATGAATTTTCGATTGAATACTTCAAAATGAATACAACTTAAATGATTTGATTATGGTGACAGAAATGTTGTTAAGTTAAATCAAAATTCTCTTTTTCTTCTTTTGCTCGTTGCTACTTTGAAATTTTTATGTATTTTTTTAACACATACAAACGTAGACACGATGCTCTTATTTCTTTTTTTTCTTTTGCTTCATTCGCGCATTAATGTATTATGTAGTGTGATCGAGTATTAACATTTTAAGATTGATGAAATAAGAAAAAAGCTCTTACCGACAAAAAAACACAAAAAATGTTTGCATATGAAAGGTAGAAGAACGATTGTGCTTCTCAATTAAATGTTGGTAGCATTTTTTTTTTTTTTTTTTTTCTTCTCAGACATTGCCGATAGTATGACTAGAAGACAGTGACGCAGCCAGGGGGGGGGGATTATGGGGATCGATCCCCCCCGAAAGACCGAAATGCCTGGAGGGGGGTACAGGCTAATTCGTTTTAGCTAGTCAAAAAATGTCTTTTTTCTATTGCGGTCCCCCCCCCCCCAAAAAAAATTTCTGGCTGCGTCACTGCTAGAAGATATATATATATGTCGACAAAAAACTCAATTGTTAAAGTGATGTAATATTTTTGAAAAATATATGTATATCATTTCAAAAAAATCTGAAAAATAATCAATTTCTTATGATAGATTGAGAAATTTGATATTCATCTATTCTTATGGAGTATTCAAGCGTAACAGAATCGCAATTTTTCATCATTTCTTTTCAACATTCTTATGAACTTTTTAGAAGATATTCAATGCAGATTGTTCTAAACATTTTGCAAGTTACAATAGTTTCTAAGTTCATGATTGTAATCTAGGTCTGTGATGGAATTGCCAAAAGTTTATCTCAAGTTTGAGTGCCACTGGAAAGATTAAAAGAATTTTCTATAGAAAAATTGCAGCCTACATCATGTGTTCTATATTTGTGAATGGCAACTTTTTGGTACGATAGAAATTTTAGCTGTATTTGATTTATAACTTCCGTTTGTTTCTATCAATTTCGACATTTTTTTCTAAATATAATATTCCTTTTTAAACATTCGATTGTCGCACAAAATTTTAGCTCTTACTATCACTGATTTACAAGAGATAAATTACAAAAATCGTCATTTTTTTCCTGACATATGTAAAAAGAAAACAAAAAATAAAGAAAAATCTTTCAGTAAGAAACTGATGAGAAAAAATTCTCTTTTGACAACTTTGTTACGGAGAAAAAGATAATAGGACTTCATGAAAAAAGCCCACTATATATTCATTTCGAAGACTCATGATTTGAAAATTGTCTGCCTTTATAACTCTTCATTGAGACGTTTGATTTTTCTCAAATTTTCATGATAAAATCGTAGCAAAAATTTTCATTGGCAATAAAATGAATTATAAAGAATTTCCTACACAGAATCACGTTCATCAATATGTTACTTCTACCAATGAGAATAGCTTTCTTAAAAAAACGACAAAACTTTGTTTCTTTGTCATGATTAAATAGCCTATTAAAAATATCTTCAGATGATATTAACAGTTTTTAAAAAAGTACATTTGTTCATAAGATAAATCAGAAAAGAAAATTCTCTAATAAACATATATTTTTACTAATTTTTTAGCACTATTTTGATTATAACATTCTCACCAAACTCTTTATTCGAAGTTGATTATTGCTTTCGATGCATGTCCGAAAACAAATGAATAGGGTTAATCACCGAACATTTCATTATAGTCTTAAAAGTGATATTGTTCTCAATGTACAGAATAAATAGTCCAAGATTATTTTCAATACTTTACGATAGTATTGCCATGCATGAAATGATTGATGGACTTAACGATACGAATAAAACGGATTGAACTAACTGTTCGTACAATCCATACCAGTCAAATCATCATCTTTGTATATCACCATTGAATTACACCTTAATTTGCATACTTCTATCACGAATTACTGAAGGTTATATAGTTTGTATAGGTAGTTATGATGAACGAAATTGTTGTGAACTATATTTAGGAGTAAATCGTCCCAAACAGTACCGTTATTTAAATGAAACAAGATATGTGTTGTTGGATTCTGTATGTGATTCAAAGATCAAAGATTGCGAGTCGAGTGATGATGAAGGTTCATGATGTAAAAAAGCTCTTAAATTGATTATAATGAATTTTTTATTTCTTTCATCTTCAATATAATTTGTATATAGTTCAAATTTAACTTTGACTTATCTATGAAAAAGTCTTCGGAAAGATCAAACTATCTGTTTTCTCATTGAAAAATTATAATAACTATCCTTCTATTGAGACTAACAATCTCGTATATGATTACATCTCAACAGCATCTATGAAAACAATTTATTCTAATCAATCTGATGCCATTTCAAATCAGCAAGTAATAGATCCAATAGTAACTTCAAGTTGTCAGTGTGGAATTGTAATTTATGTTAATGATTCAAATGAAAACTATTGTCTATGTTCACAAGTTTATTTCGATTCTTCATATGAATATTAAAGTCAACGAATTAGTTTCATATTACAATTTTGAACAATTGAATAGTAAAAAAAAAATTATGTTTGTTGACAATAATAAAAATATTCATTCTTCTGAACAATTTAATTACATTTCAGTATGTAATTGTCAAAGAAAAATTCAATATCTATAGTATTGATTTAATACGATCACAATATTACAATTATATTAATTTTAATTAAATACATCGTCTTTCATTACAAGTAAATGTTTCCATACAAGAACTTTTACTTATATCAAAAAATTATATCATCTGCATAAAAAATATATACACTTTTCCCAATTCAAAAAATACTTTTGTCAGTGACTTATTTGAAATGTTACATACAATCAAATAGTTCATGTAATTGTTCATTAGATTCGATTTGTATTGGAGTAGTGTTGTTAACTATTGATCGATATGTATTTGTGTTCTAGAAAAATTCACATAACTTTATTATTTGAAAAGAATATTATATCGCTCAAATTCGTGTTATTCTAGTGACCGATGTATAATTATTGGTATAAAGATATGCAAATTATTTTACATTGGATTATAATTCTATTTACAAATTGTACAAATTACAATTATTGTCTAAAAAATGGTCATTGCCATGATGATAATATTTACTATCAAATATTTATTTTTTCTTCTTTGTCAAATGTTGACAATTATCAATAATTTTTTTTTTTATTAATCAATTTTATCTAGTCATAGATTTTTAATTACAAACGGTTTTGACTATTAGAGATTGGTTATATATATATATATACAGAACCCGTCAGAAGTCCCTGAACATGTCAAAATCCAGGTAAAACTGAACCGTTTTCAATGAAATTTTTACCAGAGATAGAGCTTGAAAAACTGTTCGCAAGCACTAACACGAGCTCGATCGACTGAGATCGGATAGAGTTCGGTTTGAAACATTGCTTTCAACTTTTGTGACCTTGATCTCAACTTTCAAAGAATTTTATCAATTTTTTCCATTCATCAATTCAAGCTGGGTTGTTTTTCGCATTTTTCTACGCAATTTTCATAAAATTAAATCAAAACTTACCCCAAAGATGCGAGAAACAATCTGATTTAAATTGAAAAATAGAAAAAATTGATAAAATTCTTTGAAAGTTGAGATTAAAGTCATAAAAGTTGAAAGCAATGTTTCAAACCGAACTCCATCCTATCTCAGTCGATCGAGCTCGGGTTAGTGCTTACGAACACAGTTTTTCGAGCTCTATCTCTGGTAAAAATTTCATTGAAAATGGTTCAGCTTAACCTCGGGTTTGACATGTCCAGGGACTTCTGACGAGCAACTGTGTATATGTATGTAAGTATTGAACGAGTATTAACTGATGAAGTCGGAGTAAACTTCAATAAAATAAAAAGTAAACAAGCTGTGAAAAAATAATTATCTTCAAAATATATTTGTTGATTCTTTTTTTTCTGTTTCTTTCGATTAATTTAATTTGTATTCAATGCTTAATTATTTTAATAGCTAGACAAAAATTTAAAACTTACCAAAAATCATGCAGAATACATCTTTGACAACAAGTTTGCCAACATCAACATCGATAATTGAGTTCTTTAGCTCTGATAATCATTACTATGTCTTGTTTAATCATTTCTCTTATGTCTAAATATATGAAATCAGCTCAAAAATCTTGTCTATATCTTGAAAATTATTTTACTTCATTTGTTTCATCATTATTTGTATTCATACTGTTCAAATTCTATCGAAAATAGTTTAATGAAGCTACGATTCGTATCAGAAGAAATATTCAATGTAGTATTCACCGTGTGTAAGTTAGAGATGGGATTAGTTGACATTTTTTCCAAATCGAACCGAACCGAGTCGAGCTTAGCAAAAATGAAGCTTGTTATGCTAATAAAAGTAGTTGTGCCTTATAACCAAAGATTCTTTTATATAATAACAACAACAAATAATGAACACTCACAAAAAAAAACAAAGAATGAAGAAGATTATTTATTGAAGCATCACACTACATTATAACTTGCTTACCAGTTAAAGTCAATCAAAAGTATGTGAAATACTATCTGAATTATAAGCAAGATCTAATTGTTGTACCATCATGTTCTTTTTTTCTTGTTATGTCTTACTCAAAAAAAAATCTATTGAATTCAAATTAAAAAATTATATCGATTCACTCCAACCCAACCAAACGTAACTGAATCGGTTCCATCTCTGGTATAAATACCATAATAAAACTAAATCGCTCTCATTATGGTTTTATTCTAATGCTTTTTTAAGTATATGTGTGTCGCAATGTATTGCTGTCGGTATGTGTTGGAGAGTGTGCAGCTTTGGAGGAACAGAAAACACACAATCATTCAAATCTTGCTTTGAACTAGTTTGATTGTTCAGAATAAAAATAATGTATGATGCAACTTATTCCAAGCTTTCTCGATATACATATATATATATAGTAAGTTAATAAATAAAGAAGACACAATGAAAAAAAAAAGGTAGGGTAATTTAATTCCAGTGCATCTAGAGTTCTAAAAAAGTTAAAATTTCATGTTTCAGAACTATTTAGTGATGGTCATCAACTTTCATTCATGGAATATTTAAGTTAATATCTTATGGGATGAGTGTGTAGGTGTAGGTCTTCTTATTACAGCCACACTAACAAAAAAAAAAACTTTTTTCCGGAAGTGAAATTTGATCGCACATAATATTGTCTATATTGAAAACCAAGAGTGTATTTTGCAATGAGTTTTCTGTTTCAGTTTTTAAAGCTTTTCAGATCGTATCTTGTGTTATAGTTTGTTTTTTAATGAAACATATTAGATGATGAAAAAATAAAGTAAAAAACCTGACCATTTATTTTGGCCCATCCATCACTTATACTTATAAAATACATGTAAAATAAACACTAAAAAATCTGTTATTTATGTTATAAATATAAGATTTATTTATCGTTATTCTATAAATCTAGAGATTGTATTTATATATACATATATATATATATATTCTTATAAAAGTAAAGATAAGTTAACATCCCTAGTACTGAATGTAAAGATGTCAGTACAAGTTTTCTATGCAGTACACTGAAAAACGAAGTGAATGAAAACAAAACACTCGATTATGATGCAGATTCTTTTTTCTACAGTCGAGCGAAATGCAAACATCGAATAAAAAATTGTGTTATAGTCATTGTGTGAATATAGAATAATAGAAAAAAAAGAAATTCTAATTTGTAATCTATATCAATCAAGGAAGATATATTATCGTGTAACATTTCAACTTCGACGAGTAGCATGAAGGTCGATCTATTTGATAAATATTTCTCTTCAAATAGATGAATTCTCAAAGGCAAAATGTAAAGCCTAAAGTGGTGGTTATTTTCCCTGTTCTTGACAAATACACAATATATACAAATTATTTTTCACAACTACCTTTTTATCAAATTACATGCAACCTTCGTAATAGTCATCAAGAAAATAATGTGACAAATCTTTTATAAAAAAAAAAATATTTGACTCAATCAACCAATTGAAAAATCGATTCACACAGAACGAACATCACAGTAAAGTAAATGGGGGTGCTCTACGGTCACACATCAATGAATCGATTTATACATAACGATTGCCAGACGAAAACAAAACAGGGGGGGGGGTCCCTAAAGTTATACATCGATTAGTCATTTCTCTTTTTTTTCTGTTTATATACTCGCCTCATTTACTTTTCATTACACTAGACAAATATCGAACAATCGTGAGAAATAAACTTGGTTTCTTTAATTTAATCTCTTCACGAAAGTAGCATTATGTCGTATGATCAATGGTATAATCAACCATATGATGAATCGTATGGATCAACTAATCCTCCTGCTGGTCCTCCAGGACCACCAGGACCACCTCGGCCACCAGGACCACCAGGACCACAAG